AAAATTAATCCCAGCACTTGCAAGGGTGAGGCAAGAAGACTGCCATGAGTTCAAGGTCAGCCAGAGCAACATAGTTCAAGGGCAGTCTGAACACATAGCAAGACCCTGTCTAAAAACAAAGAAACAAACAACAAAAAACCAAACCAACTGAATGAAAACTGAAAGAACCAGAAAAACAAAACAAAACAACAACAAAATGTTCATGAGACTATAGGTAAAAAGGAACCCTTCTATATTGTTGGTGGAAATATAAGCTAGTATAACCACCCTGGAAATTTGTATGACGTTGCTAAGAAAACAAAAACAGAAATTCCTTTTGATCTAGCTAGAGTTCTTTCAAGTATCTTCCCCAAATAGTTAGAAACCATCACAGTACAGTTATGTATGTATGCCCGTATCTACAGTGCACAACTCATAAGAACTAACTCTTAGAAACCTGCATGTCCAACGCATGAATGAATAAAGAAAATGTAGTACATATACACAATGAAGTATTAGCTATAAAGAAGTATAGTCATTTGTAGAAAAAAATGGGACCCTGAGACCACAATTATAAGTCAAATAAGTTTTAGATACAGAAGGTTAAATATTACACTGTTTGTCTTATATGAGACACTCAAAGTACATATATGTTGGGATCAAAATAAAAGATGATGTGAAAGACAGACATTACAAAAATGGGAGACAGGTGGATGGGAGGAAACAAATGGAGGGGAGGGAGGAGGAGAAAAAGAGAATCATGATGAGAAATGCATATGCACCAATTCCACATAATGAATGTATTTATTATATATTGCAATATATGCTAAATAAAAAAGAGAAAAAATTGCAGGACACAGCTAAACCACTGCCCACAGAAAAATCTGTAACATAGAATTCTTATATAGGGTAAGAAAAAGATATAATAAGTTAATCTATTAAATTAAAATTTTTATTCATAATAAACTAACAGAAATAGCTTGTCTATTATCACATACTACAGGTAAGTTTTCCAGCTAGATTTTCTTTTAGAAATACAACCAGCAGACAGGTCTGGTGGCCTATGCCACACCATTCTGGGAGGCTGAGGCAGGAGGATTCAAGTTAGACCTCAGCCTGGGTAACTCTCACAAAATTAGAAAATTATAAAAGGGCTGGGAACATACCTCAAACATGAAGGCCCAGGGTTCAACCCCAGTACCACCCAAAGGAGAGGGGGTGAAACTGGTTATTTCAATAATTATTAAGAGCATTTTTAAGACTGTCATGATATTTAACATTCTCAACAGATTGCTATTTTACAGTCTCTATATTTATTAACATATCTAATCTTTATAATAATCCTTTGAAGTTAAGTATTACCATTATATCTGTTTACAGGTAAAAAAAAAAATCTTAGGTGTGAAGTAACTTGCCAAAGGTCACTCACCATTAAGTAACAGGACAAAAGCTACAATATCTGACTATATATTTATTATTTCTATGCCATGATGTAGAAACTGACAGATTCATATAATTACTACATGCATGTTTATCTTTTTTTCCTACCAACACATTATATCTGAGGATATTAATCTAATCAAAGATGACATGTTTGTATCTCTACTTACACATATTATTTAACCTCTCAGTTTGAAGTCATCAAATATATCAGCTCCTGAAAGTATTTCTACTATTGTTTTCATTCTACATTTCTTTTGCTCTGATAAACCACAGCTGTTAATATAATCTGCTAATGGGTTCTAGTTCTATGCGTCCTTCTACAGTGAATTAGCAAATGTATGATCTTGACTTCTTAAAAGCCAGAAGTTTTATAAATTTTACTGACAATAAGTTATCCAAAAATACGTGTGATGGTTTCTGTCTAGTTGTCCCCGCAAGCCTCATGCAGTCATGGGGTAGGGACTTCTAGAGTTTGAGAATAACTCATAATCCACTGGGATTATGGGTATGCATACTTCCCCCACTGTAGGGCAGATAGCCTGAATGTAATGTAAGAGAGACAGAGAGCAAGCAGACTTCTCTGTTGCCATCGTTGCTGTTACTCCTCCATTTTGCTCTTGGTCTTTGCTGTCACCAGGAAAGGATCCTCTCTGCCCTGTGCCACTCTGTTTTAGAGCCAGCCAGTGTGGATTGAAATCTTCAGTAACTGTGAGCTAAATTAAATCAACCTTTCTTTCCTTCATTTTGGGTGTCAAATATTTGTCCCAGCAACAAGAGAAAAGTAACTGAGACAATATGTATGGATAGATATACAATAACATAACTCAATATATGAAAAACATAAGAGAACTTTGGAAAAGTCTTCACTGGAGAAGTTGTTGTCTAAATACAGCTTACACTGTATTAGGTATTAAGATAGCCTAAAAATATACTATATTCAAAGTCCTTATATAAAGGAATTAAGCATCTGTGGGCAACATGAAACCAATCCCCCACAGATACCAAGGGATGGACGACTGTAGAAATTTAATGAACTCAGTATTGGACTGCTTTGAAACTGAATTTGGTGCTTGATGATTCTGACATGGAAATTCTGTACTGGCACTGCTTGTTTGACACTTGGCGCGCAAGTCAGAACCTGTCCCTGTCAGCTACCTTATGACTTGGCTACCCTATCCAGCCCATACAATTTAGTTATTACTCCTCAAGTACCCAAGTCCCACTGTATTCATCAGCTAATTAGGTATGGTTGAGCAACAACAATATCATAGCCATTCAGATTTCTTCTAGTTTAGGAATGTTATAAAGTACAAGTAGATTTGGCACAAAAAAAGTCAATGGTTATTTTGAAAGTGACAGCTCAAGAATTACAGGATACCTGTTTCACTTGAATTTTTATCTGCTAAAAGGCAAATAAGGTAAAAAGCTAACAAGGACTAATTTATCTAGGCCAGGCATGGTGGTGCATGCCTGTAACCCCAGAACTTGGGAGGCTAAAGCAGAAGGACTGCCACAAGTTCAAAACCAGCCTGGGCTATAAAGTAAGTTCAAGGGCAACCTGAGCTGCATAGTGAGACCTGTCTCAAAAAAACAAACAGAAGAAACCTTCTAATTCTTGAAAATCAAAGTCATATAGTAATGACGGTATCTGCAACAAATACAGAAACTATCTGTACCAACTGTGACCCTGTAACGGAAAATACACAAATACTTTATGTAATAGTTTATTATATAACAAAATTCTTACTATATTTAATATTCACACCCTTAACTGACACGCATTCAAAGCTGAAACTTTCCTATTTCATCCAAAATTTCACTTTAAAAGGTTGGGTGCTGTGCTGAAGTACTTGCATGTGCTTATATCATGCAGTACAATACAAACTAAATATTTTGGATTCTAAAAGCTATGAAGTATGGAATAATATACAATGCTTTAGATTGCCTCGAATAAACTGGGTATCATGGGATTTCTTTAACTAGATTTTTGTACTTTTAATTTTTCAATTAAAAGTATATTAAGCTTTTATAGTCACCTAATAGTGTCTGTATATGTAGATATTTTGTTTAGTATAGCATATATACTAAAAATTTCAGCAAAATACTCCTAAACTGTGGTTTAATAAAACTTATTTGCAATGATGAAACTATTCTATAACTGTTGTCCAATAATGTAGCAAAATGTGGCCTGTAAAGTTAAAATTGGCTTATTTTAGCCAGTTTTTTTTTTTTTTTTTTCAGTTAAATTTAAATTTAAATAGCTATATCTGTCTGGAGAGTATAACTCTGTAAGATCCACTATTTTTACAAAATGATAAACTACAGTCATTATAATGCTTGTTTTCACGAACTAAAAATTCTACCTAGCTTGTCAAAAGCAAAACTGAAAGAAATGGAAAAATAACTAAAATATCAGGAAGGAAATAAAGATATTTATGAATTTCTTGTTGCAATTCAAGTTTACTTTGTAAAATGAGACTTCCTATAGATTTTCACTTAAAATTCACTTAAGAGTACTGGCTTGGAGCACCAGAATGCCACAAAAAGCAAACGTATAAAGCATCTGCTAAGTTCACTGGTATATATCTATAGTCCCAGTTATTCAGCAGGCTGTGGCAGTTTGCTCAACAAAACAAGAACTCCCATAATTTTTTTTTAAAAAATCTACACTATATATATATATATATATATATATATATATATATGTATGTATATCTTTTATTTATACCATGTGTCTTCTAGAAAAATACCTCATACAATGTTATACAACTCTAAATTTTAATATTACACATAAAGCCTGAAGTCTGTAAGATTAAATATTTTTAAAGCTTTTATTTATCTATAAACATAGATAGTGTATATCTAGCTTTGATCTAAGTCATTATTTTAAAGGAAAAAGTCATAATTATTATGACCTTTTAAATAATTTCATATATTTGTGCCTGACATACTCAAGACTAGAAATAATACTTGAGTTTCTTAAAAGAAAGGAAGAAAATAAATATTAACCTCATTATAAATCTACTACACCTACAGCAATATACAAAAATTAGGAATATCACCATGAACATAAGAAAATGGTAGTTACTCTATTATTGGGAGGTTAATATTTATTGAAGAAGTAACAAGACTGGTTAAGTGTTAATTTAAAAAAAAAAATCACAGATAAAAAACTTACTTCTCAAAAGTCTACCTTTGAGGAAACTAACATGATTATGGGGGTGGACAGGGAGGAATGGAGCAACACCAGGGTAGGCCACAGAGATACTTTCAAGAAGACAACAAGAAAAAGTTCATGTGATGTAGACTGAATCTTTACAGTACATGAAAGCAAACAATTTTTTCAATTATATAATCTAACCAGTCAGTAATATAATCAACTAATATCAGAGAAATAATACACAAAGAAATTCAACTCTTGTGAAGCATTAAAGAGAAGCTATGAGAAAATGTTTGGACAGTTGTAGTTTAAAAAAAAAAAAAAGTAGTTTTCATTGTAGCAGAGGCTACTGATGAAAATTCGTTTTTCTTTGGGATTAATCAGAATTTTACTTTGAAGTAAAAGGGAAAATCATTACCTGTGCTGTGCTATCAGCTGCTTTCTTATTAACAGAAGCATCTATTGGTTTGTTTGTCTGGTTTTCTGAGAAGGAAAAAAAAAAAAGCCATTTTAAAAAACCATCTATGTTATACAAAAGGTCAGGCTGCTGTACATACAATAATTTGTGTAATTTATTCCAAATATTGTTCTGTCAATATATGTAAATAGATTCTCTCACAGATCACTGCTATAGCATCTTTTAGAAAGGCACATTTATAATACAGAAGAAAAATCTTCATCACTGACCCAAGCAATTTAAATTCTATTCTAAGGAACACCCTGGGAAAATAAAACAGAACTTTAATGCTTAAATTGAAGAAAATGGCTAAACAAAATATAATCCTTCCATAGTACAGTATGCCTCTTTGGGAAAAAAATTCTATTTTTCAGTAGCTCAATTCAGATTACTTTTTATTTATTCATTTTAAACTAATTTGATTGATTTTGTGGTAAAAATAAATAAATGTTATTACAGACCAGCATAAAGTATGTATGTGTGCGCGCGCACATGTGTGTGTGTGTTTCTACCCTATTTTTAAAGGCGTACTGGGGAAAATATATTAAATTACTGACTTCTATCAGATGTGTCTTTTGCTCTTTGGTAGCTAATTACATTATCAATAGTTTAACTGAAACACTTCTTTGTTTTTCTAGAAATAACTTTTTCTTGTTCAAAATAGGGCATTCCTTTCATTTGCAAATCTTCAGTATACATTCAGAGGAAAAAAATTTCGTTTAAACAAACATAAAGCCATTTTTTCATATTACATAAATAATTCTACATTTTTTAAAGTTAAGTAGGATAAGTATCTGCCTGTTAAAGGAGGGATCCTAGGGAAAGGAAGTAAACTGCCCTTAACAATTTTCTGAATCATTTAAATTCTTTCTGTAGGAAGAATATATTAATTTTTTAAAAAAATTATTGTAAAATTATATTATTTGATTTAAATGAGCATATGTTTTAGACTTGGAAGGTCCTGAGAACTGTTTAACACAAAAATAGTTCCAAGTTAGTGATCCTATGTGCTGGAGTGTTATCACTAAAATATACTGGTAATATTACCAAAACATCACATTTTTTATATGCAGTATTAAAAAGCATTTAGATGTGAAAGTCTGATTTTTCAAACAAAAACAGAAGGTAACTTTACATGAAAAGTAGATAAGGGAGCTTCATTTTTATTTTCTGTTGTAATAGACTCATGCAAAACTTCCTAAATACTCAGGCTACTTACGAAAACATCACACGTTACATTTTCAAAAACTAACATTTTGTTACCCAACATGATTCTGACTTGTTTCAGGGCAAATAAATTAACTATAGAACTGTAGTAATATTTTAAATTCTCGATTATTATGACCTCCTGTATTACAGGCTCTTTCTTTGACTTAATGTAACGTTTTGCATTAAATTTTCACTACATCTTTTTCCTGTCCTACTATATTCTACCTTAGATGACTTCTGAAAGTAAAAACATCAATTTATTAATCAACTAATCAACAAAATTGGTCAAGGTGTGAAATCAAATTATAACTCAAAATCTTATTATTTGGGACATATTTCTATCTCATCCTTCAAAGATCATTTCATGTAACAAATGCCACTTTTTTTTTGTATTTTTTTTAGGGAAGGGTCTACAGGGTGTTCAGGGTCTCACTACTGGATTGGATTCGTAGTGATCTGCCTGTTTACAGCCTCCCAAGAGCTGGGATTACAGGCGCGCCACCATGCCCAGTCTCAACTGCCCTCTCAGTGTGTGGCAGGAAGACAAAATCTTCATTCAACTCTTGTCACTGAAGAGCTCAAAAAACATTAAAGGAGTTTTGCTTAAATTCTTATTCTCATATACTCTTAAAGTAAGAGATGTTTAGTGAAATTTAAGTTATAAATGAATTCTGTCCAACTTTCTCCCAAATCAGCATTTCCTTGAAGTTGACTTTAGTAAACAGTACTAGCAGTTAAAGACTTAACAAAGTCTTAAGAAACCGTAGTATCTTTAGCATTTCTCTCACCCTTTAATCTTTTGTCAATAAATTAGCAAATATTGCCAATCCTATCTTTTGAATAACTTAAATTTTTATACCACCACATCTTATCTAGTTCACTACAAGTACTTTCCTAACTTTTCTCCCTCATTCCATTCTTATCCCTTCTAAACCATTTTTTACATTGCAGCCACTATTAAAACATGTCACAGTCCCTCTCCTCAAAGGCCATCAACCTCCTTTCCCACATCTTTTGTTCATTATCTCATACCTTTTCCCCATGTCCCCTCATATCTTCTCAAAGAAAACAGCATGCCTTATTATTTATCACCCATATAATTATGCAATGGACAAGTTCCCTATTTAACTGCAAGCACAGGACTACTCTGTATATCCACAAAACCTCAGACCACTATAGGCAACTCAATACTTCATGAGCAATTTGATAATAGCTAAAATTTGATCCCTAAATTTCCAGAAGAGCTGAAGGAAGATATTTACTTCACTATAAATGGAAAATACTGACTTAGATTCCCTAATAGAATGAACTATAATAAAATATACACAAATATGCAATTATATATCATATTCTTTAAGTAAGTAACACATAAGTATAGGAATTAGAAAATTTTAATTATATAACCTAACTAGCTATCACAATAGGGGTAGTACAAGAGTTTAGCTTCAACTTTCACAATCAATAAAAAATTGCCATTGAATTTGTTATCTTAGGCTTTTAGAAGAGTAAACCACCACATACGTATTTTAATGTCATTTATGGTACACATGAAATTAGGAACAATTAATATATATTTTTATAAGAATTCAGTGCAACATAAGTTTTTTTAATAGTTACACTAGAAGTTCTACAAATCATCATTTTAATTTGTCTACCACAATACATTTTTATCTGTAAATTAAATGGAACTTGAAATAGATCTGTAATCTAATGCATACATGAATATATTATATATGCTAAAATACAAAAATTTATCTCAAAAATAGAATGCTACAATGAGAATCATTTTGAACACTATTAATCATATAAAGCAAATAAATTCGTAGGATAATGATACATTATTATTAATAGAGTACAGCAACTAAATACTTTCAGAAGATACTCTTTTTGTGCTATCCAATGTTCATAAAAATTTTCAGTGAACATTCATATGAAATTATAAATTTGGGGCCAGCCAGATAGCTCAGCAGATCATGGCACATTCTTAGGCAGGTGCAAGGACCAGAGTTCCATCCCTGGCCCCAGCCCTGCCCCCAGAGTGTACTGAGACGGCAATTGAGACTGGGTATGGTACTGCATGTCTGCAATCTAAGCGCTTGGGATGCTAAATACAGGAGAATCACTACAAGTCCGATCTGTGTAGTGAGACCCTGTACTAAATACATTAAAAAAAGACGAAGAAGAAGAAGAGGAGGAGGAGGAGGAGGAGGAAGAAATAATAATAATAATAATAATAATAATAATAATAATTATAAATTTGGTCTTTGTAGATGTGTTTAGGGGACAGGCATTCATAATATAAAGAAAATATTCTGCTGAATTTTCTTTCTTTGAAGGCTCTGATCTTTTAAGAAAATACTATATTCTGGACTACATCTTATTAGGAGCTCAGGAATCAAAAACATTGTGAATTTCACTTCAAAACTTCATAAAGGGGCTGGGGAGATGGCTCAATAGAATAAGTGCTTCCTGGCAAGCACAAGGGCCTGAATTCAATCCCTGGTTCCGCTAAAAAACACAAAAAACAAAATAAAACAAACACTTCATAAAAAGAACACATTAAAAATCAAATTAAAACAGTGCCCATTATAAATCATTTGACACATTAAAAGCAACTAAAATTGAGAGAGAGAGAGAGAGAGAGAGAGAGAGAGAGAGAGAGAGAGAGAGAGAGAGAGAAAGGAAGGAGAACAATGGAAGAATGCCCTCCTCCAAAATCTTGTGATCTCAGTTAAGAGCAAGAATCTCAAGAGCTGAGCATGGTGGCTCACACCTGTAAACCCAACACTCAGGAAGCTGAGGTAGGAGGACTGTTGTGAGCTTGAGACCAGCCTGGGCTTCAAAGTAAGTTCAAAGTTGGCCTAAACTGCATAGTGAGACCCTGTTTCAAGAAAACAAGAGGGAAAAAAAGTAGGGAATCTCTCTTTGTGTTACAAACATAAAACAGTGACTAAGAAATAATGCAAAATCAGCTAATGCTAACACTATCGCTGTACTATGCAAATATTAGATTATAAGCACTATTAAACTTAAGGTTTTTTTTTTTTTAAACGTACTTAGTACAGGGTCTACAGGGTCTCACTACACAGATCAGATTCATAGTGATCCTCCTGTTTTCAGTCTCCCAAGCACTGGGGTTACAGGTGGGTGTCACCATGCCCAGTCTCAACTGTTATCTCATTGTGCCCCAGGGGTGAGGCTGGCACTGCATGTGGTGCCAGGGATTGAACCCTGGCTCCGCTCTGCCAAAGCAGGTGCTTTAGTCTGCTGAGCTATCTGGCCAGCCCTTATAAGCACTATTAATAGTAGTTCCATTTTCTTTTTTTTTTTTTAATTTTTAAATTTTTTTTATTTTTAATTCTTTTAGTTAGGTCTTCCCTGCCTGTACTACTCTAAGGGAACATGCTGGGGGCAGAGGGCAAGGGAAGGCTGATATTTAACAAATTCTGTGTGGTTTGTTTAATCGGTTCTGTGTTGTGCATTCTTGAAATTTAAAATATAATGAATTGTTGAAGGCTGGGGGAACCATGACAAGATGATTCCTCAGAGTCCCATTGATCTTGAGCATTCTGGTTTCTTGGTGCATCATGTTTCATTTGCTTTCTACACCCCTCTGGCCAGAGACACTGCTGAATACACCACAAAAACCAAATATCTCTCAGTGACCTCAGCACCATTGCTCCATTTGCTCCCAGGTGAGCACTCAGGCAAATATCCACAGAGGCTACAGACAGCATATGTACGGTTCTGTTACATCCCATACATTACCCTTTCACGTACTAAAGACATTTTCTCTTAGAGATTTTCATTTTATATCTTTAAAAAAATCTTGTGTTAATTTGCCTCCATCTTTTCCTTGGCTAAGGACATCCCAGAAATAACGTTTTTGTTGTTATGATGTTGCTGTTCACAGCTTTTCTTTTCTTTTTTTTTCTTTTTTTTTTT